ACTTCCCATACTAGTGCAGACTATTGATTGATTGGTTTTGACAAATAAATCGAGTCAACATAGTCTGTGCAGATGGGTTGTGTAGTGGTTCATTGTGTACTTGTCAAGAACGTATTCCAATTAATATTCTGGTTTTCATCTGTCTGTAACAACACATGGTACGCAGAATTCTGATAACACGTTGAAGGTTATGGTGGGCATATCGATAGCGAATGTAGAAAGTATGGAGTTAGTTTACAATTTGTGAAATCTGGTAATATTTAATTATTAATTCGAGTTTTGTGCCTACAAGGGCTTGCATTTCCACGCTTCTGTAGGATCGTAGAGGAAGAGATTAGTCGGAATAATTCATGCCATTCGGCCACACAACGCTATCACATTCGAACAATTCCTCGTAACTTAGGGGGTGTTTCACGATACTACCAGCGAGCCCCCGTAAGACACTCGCCAATCTTTCGCTCACTTGCTCGACACTCATTTGTTTTCAAGCGACGATCTGATTCAAAAGCATGCATGCTCTCTGGCAGAAATGTGGCCGTAATGGGCACACTCGACGTGCGAAAGAGACTTCGGATATTCCGAAAGATTATCGTTACACCCCAAAGGTGGTCAGGGAATGTATGGAGGATGATGATCAAGAATTCTTCCAATTCAATCGAAGGCGGGTTAAGAGGTTTGTGAGGCATTTTGTTCTGGCGTTTTATGCGTTATATGTAGATACTGATGATTTAATTGGCAGTGGGGAATTTGCTGTTGTTACTAGTATGCGATCAGAAATTGACAACGCACGTGATGGAAACGACTCTTGCTCGGATTTCGTGGTGAACTCTAATGTAACATTTCAATATTTGCCGTGCGACTTCCAAGTATGTGATTACGTTGGTTTCTGACTGTCATCAGCTTATTTGCGAAGTGCTCACATAATCCGACCACAGACGCGAACGAGATGTGCATGTTTCGCTCAAATCATGATTAAACATTGACCCACTTTTCACATTATTAATAAAACACGGATCGCCAATTGTCAAAAATATCTGTGTCGTTTTGACGCGCATTGACCTAACGATACGCCATGTTTTCTCAATGCAGTGACGTTGCGATCTTGATAGCGTAGTGTCAAACATCACCCGTGACAACACGGCCGTTAGACATAGCGTAAACACTGATGCGTTTCTGTTGATGTCGATGCGTAAAAAGAATAATAGAAGACAGAATATATATGATATTTTAAATACACGCAACTACACCGACAACGTATATGCATGTGCGCGGCGTTAACATGGCGGCGTACCGGTGACATCGTGTGACACGGCGACGAACGGCCAGTTTGACTATCATTTTATTTTTTCGCTTCTGCTCTGCACGATCTGTATGCGCATCACCTGCGCGCTCACTCAGATCCGGCACATTTGGCAATTTGTTTTTATCAGCGTGTGGAACGAGAAAATGTCTGCCCATCCACGAACGTGTCTCCGCTTAGCAGACGACATTATTGCCTGACGAACATTTTTTCACGGATGTATATCACTTTTCTGATCAGGAGTGTCTAAAAGACAGTTATTTTTGCACTACAAAGCGTGATACGTTTGTGAAATAAGCAGAGGTCACACAGAAGTGCCAATGAACGTTGATATATTAGTTTTCTCCCTGTTTTACCCTGTACTCTTCATTGTATTGATGCTGTGAGCGACAGACATCATTACGATGGATACGTGTTCCCCCGGCTGACTAATTGTAGACTGCCCATCCTCTTACACGATGGTTGTACAGCGAACTTGTTCAGCTAACTCTGCCGAGCGTATACACTTCACAAATTCATCAAACAAGTGTTCATCGGCGTGAACCGCGTGAATCTCGCGAGAGTTCACGTTGTCTAACCCTGAATTATGGAGTGATTTCAAGTGTTTCCAACACGGCGGCAATTTATGACCGATGTGGCAACCGATAGGATTATTTACAAAAAAATATGGAATATATAGACATAAAAATATATGTGTGTGGTGGGTGTTGACACTCATTAAATGTGCTAGCGGAGTTAAATACATGGTCAATAACCGCAATTGGATAACAATTATACGGTTTCTGAATACTAGTTGTGTTGCCAAGCAACCGCTGAAAATATAAATGCGCTCATTAATTCCAAATATTGATTTTGAAGCGCTGTCATGGCCACACTCGTTTTATTTAGGGGGTCGTTTTGATTTTCTATTGAATCCGGTCGTTGTCAATAACGTTCGACACACAGCAACGTATGCGGATGTCTCCCCATTGTGACGTGGGTTTTGAGAAAACGACACCGTTGTATTACATTACAAACGCGTGATTACATGCAAGCAAAACACTATAAATTGACAGTGGTGTTTTGATGAAGGCTCTTTTTCACAATCACTTCCAGACTCCCTCAAAAACATCAACAACAGAAACAAATTTAAATATGAAATGAAACATTATTTGCTTTGTTAAATTCCTCGATTACCTCCCATTTCTCTGCAAAAAAAAAAAATTCTTTTCTTCTGCATATACATTCGTTGTACCAGTAGTTCGTTTATATTATTATTACACATAATTTTTTAGTCATATTTATATCTAAATCATATAGATTACCTTTTAATTTTCGTTATGTAAATAGTAATTTTCCTTTCCTTTACCAGTAAATTGTAAATTTCTACTTGACAGTCTGGGCCATGGACTGGACTAGTCCATAAGGACTATTTTCATGGTCCACGCCGGAATTACTACTATTGTATTTTGTTTATAAGTTCTGTTATAATGGTCTTTCTGGTGAAATAAATAAATAAATAAAAATCATATGTTCTCGCAACATATCGGGCGCGCTCAGTTGCATGATAATCATGGTCAAGATCACATGAAATTGGAATAAGACCCCTAATCATTTTAGAGAGCCGTTGGTTTTGTTTTGAAACATTTAGCTTTTTAATGCAGATCCTCGTCTCCGAGCGTCACGGGGATGACACCGCCTTTTCCGGTTTTCGAAAATCATCATGGGCATAGTCGTATTTGATGTAGTTCGATAGTGTTGTGTACCACGGACATTACATTAGAGAACATTAGGTACCTGATGTTTATTGGACGAAGCCAATGTTTTGGATTACAACTATTTAACCGAGCACAGGCATTACCGCCTACGGGAAATCAATTTGCGGACGCTTGCTTGCGACGTGTCGTCGGCGTTCGGTCACCTTTGTGTGCATATTCCATGTTCGCCGCGTAGCTTCCTGTCTAGAAAAGTACTGCCGGATATTGTCAAAAAGCCAAGTCACAAATCAGTGAAACATTTATCAGTGAAGTAACACTCTTATTGACAGCTATTCTAGTCCATTTCGAGATATCAATCAGTTTCCTTATCTGAAATCAAACACCATTATGTTTTTTAGTGTTGGTTCTTTGAATTAATAAAGCAATATAATAGAAATGTTCTCCAACAAGTACCTGTATTATACCAAGTTCATTGATATGAAAAGATATGGACGTGAAATTGCCCTTAATAGCGATTAATTGCGGAAGTATGACGTCACGTATAGAATAAAACGCCTATAATAACGCGACTTCATATTTTGTTTTCATTCACGACGTGATTTTAATGAGCAGCGTAGAAAACAAGCATTGTGGGAGTTATTATGGAAAACAGTCTCAGGTTACCACACACAGCCAATTATTGCGTCATGGTTACTGATGCGAAAATAACACAAAATCATTCAAAACACTATCTGCAATTTTGATTTTGTGAGTATCTACTTGAATTGTACATAACACAGTAGCTATAGCTGCAACAGCTGTGTGTTTGTGTCGGATACGGCGGTATATGCTGCAAACCACTCCTTCACTGGACAGTGTCAATATTTTATGATTTAATTTAACTGTGAGTGTATTATTTTATATTTGCCCGACTTTGAGTGCCCTTCATATTAATGTAGTCACGTGATGTCATGGGTTTTGTATAACGCGATTATAACGAGAATTGTCATAATTACATTAGCCCTCTTCGAAGCAATTCAGTGTATTGCGTCTCAGTGGTGTATACTGCCACGTGAAAGACAATGGTATCATTTTAATTTAAATATGACCCCTTTATTTTGCTCGCGTGCCCCCTTTTAGTATGTGTCTATAATTTGTACATACACTCAAGAGTCGTCTGATTTACGGGAGATTGTAATGGGTTTACTACTCGCGCAAGGTGAATGACTGATCCGTGCGGCGCGGCAGTCCGATGTTGGCCGACAACGTAACAACGCCATGACTATTTACACCCAGCATTTGTATTAATTGTAACCTCTTGGTAGCGTAATACTATAATCTTACATTCACGAACACGCACTTGGAGATGTATTGGCTATACCTGTGTATTGCTTCCTGATTACCTTGTTTTCTGATGGTGAAACGTAACGCGGTGGTCGTCGCGCAGCGCGTGTTGGAATTTCATGTAAATAAACAATGTGTTGTACACCCGTTGTATACGTCGCTATTAGTCCCATATCGAACAAAACACGGCACGACGACTGCCGGCCTTTAAAGACTGCGTTCGTGAACCACGGCGTTAACCATGGTCATATAGCGTCCACGCACGTAGGCGCTGAATGACGTAACGTTCACGCTATGCATGTGACGCGTGATGATGTATGTCGCATCGTTTACAATATGTGTATTGCGCGCAACGACCATGGCCGCAAAACGTTTGTTATTGCAGTCAACATTTTTTGGTTTAGCGGTTTTTTGCAAATCCCGTTCAGAATTTAACTTACCGAAAGCTGGGTGAATGTTATCCCGAAATTACCCTACGGCGAACACTGACTGATCATTCAGAATGTAAAACACATGCACGCATTTTTTATTTTTTTTAGGTCCTGACAAATATACAAAGAAATAATATAGTTACATTTTAGAACCTAATTTCCCTTGGTTTCTTTCCCTTCAATATTCATTAAGATACATTTCCCGATCATGCATTTAAATAATATCGTATATTTGTTCAATTCTTACAGTTCTCCTGCCACCGAACTTGCTTCCAGGCGAGGTGTTTTCAGTCGACGACACTACGGATCCGTGGAGCTGGTGAGTATACAAGCTTTCAGTTTCTCAAATATTTCCCCGAAAATAACCTTTTAAAACGTGAACTTTGGCATTATACTTCATAGATATTGGTTCGCCTACGGCATGTGTTCCGAGTCTGCGTGGTAAGGGTCCCGGTTTGACGTGTGCCAGCTTCGAACCATCCATGTATTTATATTGTCAACCCCTAGACGGGATGTGTGTTCTAACGATTGCATTTGACTTTGACAAATGATCTGTTGATATTGAGTGATCATTTTAACGTTTCAACGACCTAAATTTCAAATGGTGATCGATCCTGCTTGATTTGGCCGTGATCTCATGTGCAGGACGGTCTTGAAGTTAAAGCGGTGGGAAGGGGATGGTCGTCACCTGCGCATGCTTAAGATGGCTACATGATGTCATTGTTTACAAGCTCTCTGATTGGTCAGACCTTTAGGTGCTAGGCTTATCTCGACGATCAATTTGATCGCATTTTCTAGCGTTGAAGATATATTGACATATCGTGTGATTACTATAACGTGACAACAAGGAATAAAACATCTTTCGATTGCAATTTGACTGTAAGTGTAATGTAACTGAAAGGTCAAGCGAGAACAATGTTTTGCAAATCAATTTCGACATTTCGCTGTAACGTTTGATCACGTTTCTGTGGCAACAAACGCAGTATACCACATCAATTTATGCTCCTACCCTAATACACACAGACGATACTGAATAATTCAGTCAAGCACTTCGATCATAATAAGTATGATTTTATTGTTGCGTCACAACTTGGCCTAGGTCAATTTCGACACTTTACATGTTTTTTTCTGTTGTCAAATTGAATTTCATATGTGAACAAATAATACGAGGTGTATTACACACGTAAATATACACGAGATTGGAAGAGAAATATCAGATGCACCTGAGCACACAAGTGTTAATTGTTAGCATTTGCTGTATCATGCTCTTAATAAGCAACTCAATGCCTGATCACGCACGTTGATTGACCATGAAAGCCTAATTGGCAAGACTCCTTAGCCGAGTTATTATAGCACGGAAACAATCTTCACGGTCTGAACGAACAATGAGTAGATTTCAGGATGAGATTAGATAACGCACACCTTTCTCTTGCTTGTTTCTAAGCAGTATCCATTGTCAGCTGCTCGTATTTATGTGTTCCATGTTCTTTGAAATACACGACTGTCGAAATTTGCAAAAGCTACATCACCTCCACATAAAGATGGTGTAGTACATCTTGCTGTGTGTTGAGATAACCCAATGTAATATTTATTTCTAGCCATTTTCCATCACTATGAACACAGCTCACATAACGTATAATGAACATCAAACGATGTGGTGTTCATGAACGGTCGCATCGACTCATATTACCGCGTGATTTACGTTGCAGCTTTCAAATGACACCTTTGTCCGCGCTCTCTAACTGTTAAAAGGCGTTGGTCGTCGCGCTGCGCATGTGCGACATTTGTTTTGATAAACATTGATTTTTCCAAAATCCAATGCGCTTCTTTGATGGAAAGTATGAGGTTTGACCTGGGCACGACTTTCACTAATTACCACCGATGACTCATTCGAAACCTTCCAATCACCTAAACATCTAATTAAAGCTTGGTAACGTCTCAGTTTGTGCTCGTTGATCTACTCAACAGTCAAGGTTTATCTGCGCCAACTTTGTTTATATGAGACCCATATATCTCGACTACCACCTTTAATTATTCAAAACAGCAAAACGATAAAGTATAAGATAACTAAATAACGAATGGGATTTAAACACAGCCAGTGTGATTTATATTATAATGACACTGCTTCGGGAAAGCAAACGTGTTTAAAAGCGTATTTAATGATTGCACAGCACCATTTACATCAAATTTGAAATCTATATCGACCGCCACCGCCTTTTCACGATGCACGCGTGAGCTCGATGCCTACTAAAACAGCAGTACTTTCAAACAAATTGCAAAGGGTTAAATCAACGATCCCGCATTAACCCCGTAACGATTACCAATGTGGTTTCAGAAGAATAGACATTAATGACTTCCGATATTAAATTACTTAGAGAGGAGCATAGCCGCTGCTGAATACGTTATATCTGTGTCGATCTCTTCTTTGAATGATTAGTTTTCGTTTTGTTTAAATATTGCCAGGCGTCAAATTTGTACAATATATTGCGAACGTAATATTGTTGAATACGTTTCATAAAGTGCTTTCATAACGCTACATTGAAAACGTTTTCCAATTTGTTCTTCATCACGACCGTTAAATAGTATTAGCACAACACGTAATAACTTTGTGATTTGTGTAAGGCATCACGTTTCTATCTGACCTTCCAAATCCCAAATATTCCAATACCATTAGACAGACCAGCAACCGACATATTTTTCTTTTAAATTACATTCTTAAAACATATGTATAGTGATGGAATTGCTAAGGTTCCCTATTCAGTTAGATGTATGCGTTCGAAAAACCATGCGGACTGTCTTTGTGGCACACATTCAACACATATTAGTGTGGAAATATTGGAAACTGATCGGGTTCTTCGAGTTGAATATATTTATTCATGTAAAATATGATGAAGCTCGTTTGTTGTGTACATTGCCAATGCACGGCTGCTTGACCTTGTAATATGGCAAAACCAAAGGTCATGTGTTAGAGCAGTAAAATAATCGAATTTTTATCAGTTTAAATTTCACAATTTGGAAATACAGATTTTACGTTTCTAAGGGAATTGAATCTTGTAATTTGAGTACAAACCTCGATTAGTGGCAAACTACAAATGTAGTTTTGAAGGGAAATAAGATTTATCTTAATGTTCATTTTATTGCAATTAATTTAACACGTCAGCTGCATAATAAATATGTTTATATGCATTAACTGTATGGCGACTATTTCTGCATGGATAGATGCCTCGTTATGAATTTCTTTGCACGATATGAATATATTATTTGTTCGTATTATATACATACTCAATGCGCACTGAAATATTTGTATATAAGGCAACACAAGGTGCGTGTCTATCGAAACATATAACTGAACACTCGACCAAATACATTTTTTTCGAATATTGTGGGCATTTAACATGACTATGCCTAAATACTGTACAAAATAATCCGTGACGAATTCCAATTTGCTGTACTAAACCTATACATATATTCATAATATAAAAATTAGCTTTAGTTGGCGTGGTATATTTTTTTCTGAATCGAGAATACAGAATTGTATAACTTGTTGTTATAATACACCAAAAATAGAATAACCCAGACATCACACAACACATGTACGAACACGCATCAGTTAGCTGGTCACCGAAGCATGAAATCGGGTGATTAATCTTCTTGTGTTTTTACTTGGAAATTCAAGCTATTCAACCAACGTATTGATCACAATAAATCACGAATAAACACTGGCCGACTGTTTCGTTCAATACTTTTCGACGCTACATGCTGGTGCTAATACTTTGAGTATATGTTGTATATAATCTGGCAGGTTATGAATTGGCATTGGGAACTAATAGAATCCTTACCTATATATACATATAATGTGAATAAGGTTAGTATATTGCGTGCAATTAACACCATATTTTCGATAAATGTTCGCAAAAATAATAAATATTTTCATTTAATCATCAGAGTTGCAAATCTACGTTTTGATAACTTAAGACAAATATTATTCAAACAAATGTATAACTATATTTAACATCCATATTTTAAATCAAGGATAATTTTTAAAAAAACTTTAGATATAACTTTTCCCATTGCGTACATTATCGAGGGGAATCAAAATAGCTTTACCATAGAAACCAGTTGTGACATATTCTAATTGGCCGCCAGTCCTTTTAATGAATAGACTTCTCAACAACATGAGCTGGGTGAATTCTTATTATCTCCATCTCCTACCTTGAGCCATATTCATTCTAGCACGGTGCTCGTGAACAAATTTACCTGGGCTATATAATCGACTTGTACACGACCCTCATTTTAACATTACCCTAGTTCATTTCGTTTGCTATTATCATCTCGAGTGACCACACTGTGTAACGCGCCCGTGCACAACAACCACGTGATCAACGTCCAAGTTGCGAAGGTGTAGCAAGCCATTTTTATATGCCGTTATTCAACGACTTCTCTCAACTGAAAAGAAAATATTTCGTCTCAAAAACGAACCACTCGTTTGTCAAAATTACTACGCAAATGTAATATTGCCACTGTCGTCTGCAGTCGAACGTAAACCGATAAACGCTAGATCTGGCAGATCGTGGTTCTCCAACAAATCTGAAGCTAATAGGTAGGCAGTAGTTCATGTTGATGATAACTGTTTGTCATATGCTTCAAAGGTTTTAATGATCTACGGTGTGATACTACCCATTTCAAATGGGAATAGTACACTCTCGAAGGCAAGTATCGTATCAAGCTTTGATTCCCCTAGGTTTCATTTAACAGAATGTTAAGATCCGCTCAAGATGCCGTAAGGCATTTAATTTCTGCTGTATCAAATATCTAGAAAGTGCTAGTGTATTTCATACAAGTTCTCGAATCTTAGATTTCCAAACAGCTATGTAGAAGACCGCATTCAATTATTCAATGATCTGTTTCCTATAAAGCTACGATAAGATCCCACTGATTTATTTGTGTCACATGTTTTATACTTCAAATTTGGCAATAAGCTGAATCAGCTAGATAGTTCCTAACAATGACTTGTAGAATCGGATGTTAGACTGTAAAAAGGTCACCTGTGACAGTTTTGTTGTATTTGCGTGTTTGTTGATTAATGCTAGTAATCTTTGGTTGATGTAATGCACTACGCGAATGTGAAAACAACATGTACCAGCAATTTAAAACATAATTCAATAGTTTAGCAAGCTTAATTTTGTGAGCGGGGGTGCTCAGTGTTTTCACTTAAACTATTCACAATCACGATATACTAATACCGAACCAAAATACAAAAACGAATAAAAGTTTAGACTTTTAGAATAAAAGTCGAATATTTTTAGATTATTAAAAACA